TCGCGAGCGAGCCCGACGACACGCTCGTCGCCACATCCACCACGACGTCGTACGACGCCGTCGTGTCCATCGTCACCGTGATCGGCACGTTGACCGTCCCCGATCCGGGCTCGGTCGCTGCAGCCGTCCCGGCCGCCATCGTCACCACCGCCGCGTCATCGTTGGTGATCGTCGCGGTCACGTTGACCACGTCAGCCGCCAGTTCCGCGCCGCCGTAGTTGGCGATAAGGCCAAGGTCGAGCACCTCGGTCGGCTCGAGCACCCCGTCGCCCGACACCACAACAGACACCTGGTGTGTCGTCGCAAGCGCCGGGATCGTCATCGGGCTTCCCGTCCGCGCCACAGTGTCAACAATCGTCGCGTCGGACGGCACATCCGCCGTCGACGTCACGCCATCGACCTCGACAACGAGTCCAGCCGCGTACTCGGATGGCCGTGACAGCGCCAGCTCGACCACAAGCTCGTTGGTCGTCGACGCCGCACCCTCGGGCCCAGTCACAGACAGTGCATCCGTGCCTGCACCCGACACAGCGGTCGTCGTTCCGCCGACCACCGTCGCGGTAAGCACCGGCGCCGGTCCCGAGTCGGCAATCGTGACCACCGTCGTGTCTGCCACGCCCACGGAAACGCCAGGGGTAGACGTGCCGGTCAGCTTGACGTCGAACGTCTCGCCGCCGTCGTACCATGCGTCTGCGGCCACAACCGCGTTGTACACTGCGCTCGTCGACCCGGCTGGGATCGTCACCGTCGTCGTCTCGACCGTAAAGTCGGTTCCGCCCGTCGCGAGCGAGCCCGACGACACGCTCGTCGCCACATCCACCACGACGTCGTACGACGCCGTCGTGTCCATCGTCACCGTGATCGGCACGTTGACCGTCCCCGATCCGGGCTCGGTCGCCGCAGCCGTCCCGACCGCCATCGTCACCACCGCCGCGTCATCGTTGGTGATCGTCGCGGTCACGTTGACCACGTCAGCCGCCAGTTCCGCGCCGCCGTAGTTGGCGATAAGGCCAAGGTCGAGCACCTCGGTCGGCTCGAGCACCCCGTCGCCCGACACCACAACAGACACCTGGTGTGTCGTCGCAAGCGCCGGGATTGTCATCGGGCTTCCCGTCCGCGCCACAGTGTCAACAATCGTCGCGTCGGACGGCACATCCGCCGTCGACGTGGCGCCATCGACCTCGACAACGAGTCCAGCCGCGTACTCGGATGGCCGCGACAGCGCAAGCTCGACCACAAGCTCGTTGGTCGTCGACGCCGCGCCCTCGGGCCCAGTCACAGACAGTGCATCCGTCCCGTCGCCCGACACAGCGGTCGTCGTTCCGCCGACCACCGTCGCGGTCAGCACCGGCGCCGGTCCCGAGTCGGCAATCGTCACAACCGTCGTGTCTGCCACGCCCACGGAAACGCCAGGGGTAGACGTGCCGGTCAGCTTAACATCGAACGTCTCGCCGCCGTCGTACCATGCGTCCGCGGCCACAGTCGCGTTGTACACTGCGCTCGTCGACCCAGCTGGGATCGTCACCGTCGTCGTCTCGACGGTAAAGTCGGTCCCGCCCGTCGCGAGCGAGCCCGACGACACGCTCGTCGCCACATCCACCACAACGTCGTACGACGCCGTCGTGTCCATCGTCACCGTGATCGGCACGTTGACCGTCCCCGATCCCGGCTCGGTCGCTTCAGCCGTCCCGGCCGCCATCGTCACCACGGCCGTGTCGTCATTGGGCAACTGACCGTCGCGTTGAGGGTCGCCGCGACTGTAGTACGAGGCGACATCGCCACGTCAAGCACTCATCAGTCTCTAG